ACTGTTAGAAAGCTGAATGGCTACGCTTTAAAATGAATGTAAACTTTAACGTTTTCGTCTATTATTTGTTTAGCAATTTACATTTCAGTCGAGGATTGCGCTTTTTTTGATACACCCTGTAGTCTTATGACACATAATTTACTGATTACTATATATAGTCTCGTGTTGACCTATGTTAGGCCTGTTTCAAACGTCGCGCTTCTCATGTGCCCAACGCATTAGAACAAATAGATAATGAGGCATTTCAGCTGATTATCAATGTTTTTAATGCGTTTGGCACATGAGAAGGGCGACGTTTCAAACAGATCTTACTTTCGGCTCAAAAATGTTTATTTTTCCCGCGCGTATAATGCAAATGTATACAAAATTTGCGAACTTCACAGGGCTATATATATTTACAACAATTCGCAACCAAACTTTGCAATTTTACTCATTTTAAGATGCTCTTTCCAGCTATGGTAATGGATTTCGTTCTGGCTTGTCTAGATCAAAATTTCGTTTATAGGTGGAATCATTCATGGTTCTGGTATACAACATTCTTAATAATGGTACTGCCCCCTGTCTTCGAGAATTCCTTTCTGCACGAAGCAATAATGATAATGACTATCATCTCAGAAATTATGATACAGATCTCTCACTTCCAAAACCTAAGAAAGAATTTCTTAAAAGAAGCTTTAGGTATATAGTGGAGCTGTACTGTGGAATAGTCTTTCTGCTGAGGCTAAATCTGCTCATTCGATTCATTGTTTCAAAAGACTTATTTGAATCTTGCTTTTAAATGCTATTCCATTTGTAACTACACATTATGTTCTGGGTAATATTCTTTTTGGGTCTGTGGGTTAATTAGTTTTTTCTTTATTTTTATATTCTTGTAAATAGCTAAATAGACGCCCCTCATGAAAACCAGCCGTATAGCTGATGAGGATAGCGTCTCAACAGAAATTAAATACATACATACATACATACATACATACATACATACAAATTGAGTTTCTCGCGTGCGAGACATAACCGTGGTTTGGTCAACCGCGATTTTCCTGTGGCAAACATCGATCTTATTGTTTTTCATTTTCTCACCTGAACGTCGAGGACTGGCACTAGTACCAGTCCTCCCATGATAACGCAGAGCAGTAGTGTTATAATAAAGCTCAGCGTAGGACCAAAATACGCATTTGTGATATTCCTTGGTTTCATATTCATGATTAAGCCAGTGAATGGGGCGAAGATGAAGCCAAAAAACTGTGTTAGACCAAAGATTTCTGAATATGTTTCAACTACAGGAAAAGTGAATGTAAAAATTTAAAAATCAAGAATGTTTACACTGGCGGGAGGTGTGCACATTAGAGGTGTGCAAATCCGATCCGATCGGATTCGTTCGGATTTCGAATCCAAAATATTCATTTCGGATCGGATTGATAAAGTTGTTTCGTAGTCGGATCGGATCGGACTTCGATATCCGAAATAAAATGAATTAATTATCCACGTATTATCGCAAGAATTAATTATCCATTCATTTATCAAAGCATTATCGCAGTTGTCGCTGTATTATTCGTTTGATACTTCAATTGGACGTCACTTTGTCAGCTTCTTGACATGTATTTCTTGCTTTTATATTTATTTGGTTAAATATTTCAACTTGAATGAGAAATTTATTTTGCTAAAGAATTCATCGGATCGGATCGGATTGGAATACTTTATCAAAACTCGGATTCGGATTAGACAATTTCGGATCGGATTTTAAACATTGGGCAATTGTCGGATTATAAACGTCCGATCCGATCCGATGCACACCTCTAGTGCTCACCTAACACACATAAAAACGCACAAGTTGTAACAAACTGTATAGCAGACTTGTAGCAAATGCTGTTCCAACAATTTGTCAACAGGATGTGTTCGCACTGCTTGTTCCCAGCTTGTTTTGACAAGCTACAAACGAGTTGTTGATACGGCAATATATTTTTTTATTATTTCATTTTAAAGAACTTTTAAAATTATATGTTAATCTCCTTTACCGATTTTGCGTAACTTTATTATTTCTTGAAATATTTTGCTGTCCGCCATCTTGGATTAATTTGTATCTCATTATCGGTGATTTTAGTGACGTCATAAGCGGGGTTAGCCATATAAAACTACATCTAAATGACCAAATAACATTATGTCTTGTTTGAAAAATCGTCAGACAGTTTTGTATTTCAAATAGTTACTGAACTATATGATTTTGGGCTCATAATAACCAATTGCTCTATGGATAAAATTCTCGCGTTATGATGTCACATGCATAGAGATTATAAATAACACTAGAGGAGGCATCGTAATCTCACTTCAGTCAAAAAAAGGGAACGCGGCTATTGGGGGGCAAATTTAAGTCCCGGATGTGTATTCGTGTTCCCATTGGTGACGAGTTTCAAATCAGCCAATGAGAGCACGATTTTATATCTGGGACTTGAATTTGCCCCCCATTAGCTGCGTTCCCAATTTTTAAACTCGATGCCTCCTCTAGTGTTATTTATAATCTCTATGGTCACATGCATATCCGCCAAAATCCAAGATGGCGGAAAGCTAGCTGATTTGTGATTTTTTCTGTTCAAATATCTCAAGAAATAATAAAGTTACGCAAAATCGGTAAAAGAGATTAACATATAATTTTAAACGTTCTTCCAAATGAAATAATAAAAAAATATATTGCCGTATCCCTTTAATAAATCGAATCAAAAAACGTGATAAAGGTGTCGACTATTGTTTGTCGGCGCGATGTTTTGCACGCCACTTACTTTTGTCTTTATCATCGTGTGTATGATAAACAAGATAGCTGTTTAAACTGCCAACAAAGAACCATAAACGTAGTTGAATAAGGGAGAAAAAATACAGCAACCATAAATATTTCGCCGTTAGAATATAGCGCCAGCCTAGAGAAAGATTAGAATAATATATTCATTGTGAGACTGTGTTGTCAGTTGTGAGGTGGGGGGGGGGGTATTCATTGCCCCCCCCCCCACAATCATTTTTTGAGAAAGCCTGTGAGTGAGATTGTTTGAAAAGTCATCTGGCCAAACAATCACGGCAGTACAACCATGAGAAGAATTAGCCATTCAGAAGTTGATGATGAGAGGACTGGGACGAGTGTTAAAAAGTGCATAAATTAGAAATGAACCAAATCACTAAAAAGACCACCTCAAAATTAAAGTATACAAAGTTTGAAGGCGTTTACATGAATACCTTCGAATAATAAGCTTTCGAAAATCGCGATATTTACCATGAAATGTACTGTAATTCTTGTTTTTGGACGGGCGTCAATCTTTTAATCAATAATATCTTTCGTCAATCTTTTAATCAATACCCAAATTATTTTTTGCTCCCCCCACCCCATTTCCCCCCCCCCCAAAAAAAATTTTTTAGTCACTAAGAGCCGACTAAAGGCTACACAAGCGTTTTGTCGTTATCGGAAAATGTGTGGCTTATAAGTTGTCATTACTCATTAGTGAATGCGCCGTATACATGAAACTGTTTTTTACAGTTTCAATATATATTAGTTTGTAAATCTCTGAATGGTAAAACTTGCCAATACTTCAATAATACGTTTCAAAAAAGACAAAAAAGCTTTAGTTTTGCAGAGTTAAATTCTCAAACGTGCAATTATCACGAAATTATTTGAATAAACCACATCGCTTATATGGGGGGGGGGGGGCGAATATCCTAAAGGGGGGGCGATATTCCTAGGGTATTCGCCCCCTTTGAGAAGGGGGCAAATCTCCTGGGGGGCGACCTTTTTAAAATTCTATCTTGCCCCAAATGAGAGTTTGCCCCTCAAATCTCTCCCCAAATTCTGAGGCCTGGCGCCGCCACTGAACGTATACAACCTATGCCTAACGTACCCCTAGCGTATGTCAGCGTTTCCCAGCATATGAGTGATATTTTTCATACGCTAGTGCGATACGCAATAGTGTGACAGGGCCTTAAGGTTTTAAACACTATTCATGCCTCTTAGTCAAAATATATGGTATAGACTAATAGACATTCTCACCTGAAGCGAATTTGTCCACATCCTGTGATATTGTCCTTTCAGGCGTTGATCCATTTTCTACCGGCTTGTCATTCTCTAGAAATATTAGTGCGAATGTAGCCATTAGCAGGCCCGTTAAGAGGGCCTACTAATGGCTATTGACAATATTTAACTATTATTTTGTGTGTCTCAAAGGTATAAACTACAAAACAAGGTCATTTTGAGAGGAACGCCAAAAGGATTTTAGGTTTTGAACACTTGAGTTCCTTCCCTGTGCACGCCTCATTGAACTATAAATAAACTGGAAGGTTAACTCAGGGGGGGGGGGCAATTGAAGCCAGTGCATTTTAGTTTTTCTGAGTTATGAGCAGAAATACTCAACACTGAACGTTGGGCTATATATCAAATTGAAGCTATTTGGTGTAGAAATTTTACGACTTTAGCTAAAAGGGAAATATTGAAAAACTACAAACATAACTGATTACCGATAATTTGCCATTTTACAGTTGTTTTTGTATTTTTTAAATATTTTTCTTTTCGCTGAAGTCTTGAAAATGAAATTTCCACACCAAATAGCAATTTTCAATAGCTTCAATTTGATATATAGCCCGACGTTTGGGGTCGAGTATTTCTGCTCATAAACTCAGAAAAACTATTTTGGCTTCATCAAATCATAGGCCTTCATCATAGCAGTTAGCCTTCCAGTTTATTTATAGTTCAATGGCACGCCTTCACTTCACTGACCTGGTTCTTTGTTTAAATTGATGTCATCAAACTCTCGAATATTCCCGACAGATTGAATAGTCATCGCCTGATCTCCCACGGTGTCTGGAGTGACAGCCTGATTACTGATCCCTAACTCCACTCTAGATTTTTCCCTGTTCGAGTCTTTCTGTTTGGCAGAGCTTTTGGGTATAGTCATCTCCTGGTCTCCTACATTGTCTGGAGTGACAGCCTCATTACAAACTTCTAAGCCCACCTGTTCGGCAGCTATAGAAGTCTTCGGCAGGAGGAAAAATGTACTGACCAGTATACAGAAAATCGCGAGAGCAACATAACCGACAAAAATCCAACGTATCCCCACTCCAGCGTCGTACAGTAGCTAGAATACAGAAAAACAGTGACGACATCAGGGCAGGAATAAATTATTTTCTTCCTGGGAGCACAACCTGCTGAAAATTTCCTGGAGACCTGGAGACAAAAATTTCCTGGAGACCAACGGAGTATTTTTGTGCTAATAGTCCAGTTAATCTGTGACCAGAGGTCAAAGAAATTGCAATAGAATTTTTTTCAGTGGTAAAATGTGAGGGAAGATGTCCTGATTAACATACTAAAAATAAAAAAAAATCCCTTCGGTGGAACATGGTGAAAATCGAGTTTTTCTTACTTCTACCTATAGAAAACCATTGTGGACAGAATGTTGAAATTTTGAAATCATTTTTAGGCAAATATAACCTACATTATTGGAAAGCTTAGAAAAAACTAAAATATAGATCATTAAACGGTTATATTCAATTTACTGGTCAGTTTGTCGTTATTCTAGCTTAAAGTTGGAAAAATAGCGCAAAATTTGCACAAAATACAAATTTATGGCATTTTAAATCTTTTATAACTTCGGCTGGATAGACAAAAGCAAGATAACCGTTTAATGATTTATATTTTAGTTTTTTCTAAGCTTTCCAATAATGTAGGTTACATTTGCCTAAAAATGATTTCAAAATTTCAACATTCTGTCCACAATGGTTTTCTATAGGTAGAAGTTTTTTCACCATGTTCCACCGAAGGGATTTTTTGAGATTTTTAGATCAGAACAACTTTTCTCACACTTTACCACTGAAAACAAATCTATTGCGATTACTTTGATCAGTACCATGTACTTATAGTGATTTGACTGGACTATAAATCTGCATAAACATATAGTGTTCCATACACGCAAAAACCTCACATCTTGTAGCAAGTCTGCCAACAACTTGTCAACAAGTTGTGTTCGCACTGCTTGTCCCAAGTTGTCAACAAATTTGGAACAAGCTGTCAACAACTTGTAACCTTGTTGATATTATCAGACTTGTTGCAAGGTTGTTCCAACAAGTTCGATGCAGTCATGATATAACAATATTGTTACAACCTTGTGTCATCAACCTTGTAACATTCTTGTTATATCATGACTGTATCAGACTTGTTAGAAAAACCTTGCTACAAGTTTGATAATGCCATCAAGCTTGTTACAAGTTGTTAACAGCCTGTTTCAAACTTGTTACAACAACTGGGAAGAAGCAGTGCGAACACAACTTGTCGACAGCTTGTGAACAGATTTGTAACAACTTGTTTGCAGACTTGTAACAACTTGTGCGTTTTTACGTGCGTAGCTGACCATGCATGGTTTTAAATTCAAGGAATAGTGTCTGTCGACCATATGTTGTTGCGCCCCATAGTGTCATAGTGGGACATAGGTGTTAAGGTTTCGTTTAAATTTTCAATAGCAAATCTTTATTCAAACGAATTTCCTGCAGCTGTTTAACATTTCCAGCACGTAGTGCTCGCGCGTGCTCGTCTATTTGGAAAACATTTTGATATTTTGTTCACCCCTGCACAACATCTTTTTCATTTTCGATACGTTTTCCATGTGACAATTTTACACTGTCGGCTGTTAGCCAATCAGAAACCATGAGTTATTTTAAAAAAATAATACATCATACGACGATCAAAGGCCGATGTACACAACTTTTGCCTAGTAAAACTGTCGCATGCAACCTGCTTACAACTTGAGTTGTACTGTGTTTATCAAGTACACAACTCACTTACGACAACATACAGGAGTTGTGTGCTATAGATTTACACAGTATACAACTCAAGTTATAAGCAGGTTGCACGCGACAGTTTTAGGCAAAATTTATGTAGTGTAAATCGCCTGAGCAGACGGGACCACAATGGTGTTACGCCCTCAAATATTTGTGCTCACCTTGAAAACTAAAAAGACGACCGAAGATGAATCTAAGGCTCCACTGAGTGAACTTGAAATGATAAATTGATGCTTTGTGTGCAGAACAGCTATCTACGAAACAACAAATTTCACATCGTCAAGAAATAACCCAATCCAGAATCTCGATAGCCCGTGTACAGCCGTATTAGGGACTGCATGGTCATTATTCCAACATGAGCTCCACCTTTGAATTTACTATATGAGTAAATTCTTAAACACGTCCGAATTTATCATTATGATAAATTCGCGGCACATTTTGAATTTATCAATAGAGTTAATTATAAAACCACAAGCATTACACAAGATTTCTTGTTATAAATGTAATGGCACTAAATGAGAGGCTGGTCGCGCAGCGGTGGGGAGTTTTTCAAGTTTCCTAAAAAAATAGTTTTTAAAAAAGTTTTAAAAGAGTTTTGAAAAGCAAAGAAAAGTTTAAAAAGTTAGATTTTAAAAAAAGTTAAAAAAGTTAAAAAAATTTTAAAAGTTAAAAAGTTAGGGTTAGGGGTTAGTGCTTAGGGTTGGGGTTGGGGTTAGTGTTAGGTGCCGCGAATTTATTATTATGATAAATTCAAAATTTGCCGCGAATTTATCATAATGATAAATTCGGACGTGTTTAAGAATTTACTCATATAGTAAATTCAAAGGTGGAGCTCATGCTGCATTATTTATGGCGGAGAGAAGAGTGACACTGAAGAGAAATATTTTTCTTGGTATGTTTTTACCCAACCTCAAATATCAATGTATGATATCAGCCGTATAGACGAAATTTTGATCTTGACAAGAAGAACGAATCCATTACCATAGCTGGAAAGAGCATCTTAAAATGAGTAAAATTGCAAAGTTTGGTCGAGAAATGTTGTAAAATGTGGAAAATATAGCCCTGTGAAGTTCGCACAATGCACATTTTGTATATATTTGCATTACGCGCGACAAAAATAACCATTCTTGAGCCGAAAGTGGTTATTTTTACCGCGTGTAATACAAATCTATACAAAGTTTGCGAAGTTGACAGGGATATATTTTCTTCATTTTACAACATTTAGCAACCAATCTTTGCAGTTTTACTCATTCTAAGACGCTCTTTCTAGCTGTGGTGTTGGATTTCATTCTTCTTGCCTTGATCAAAATTTAGTCTACATCTGGAATAATCCATTCAAACTGAAAAATAAAACTCATCCCTGGCCAAAAACTTTATAAAAGGATACCATTCAGTTGTCACATATATTCTTTACCAGTTTGATAACTATACTTGTGCAATTTTCTGCAGTCTATAAAGTTTCATGTTGTCTGCACATGTACTGTCGTTGGAGTCACCATTTGCCTCCTGACAAATCGCAAAATGATCAAGATAGTAACTCTGATTGATTTGCTATTTTACTTATTGTATGGACATATGACTGTTGACATTGCTTTTTAGTCTTCAATATTTGAGTGAATCATGCTTTGGAAATGACAGTAAATTTTTATTATCCAACCGTTAAGTTGTTTTGTTTTTCATTTATCCAACATTTTACTCACTCAAAATTTTGTTTGCCCAACCCTTTTCTCTTCGGTGCCAACCCCCCTTCCCCGACTGCGCACATCCAAATGACTGTCTAAGTTTTGTTACCATAATGACTGAGGCCAGGGTAAACGTCGAACTTTTCATGCGCCGAACCTAATGCAAATGAAGTGAAACAAAGAACTTAGCTCATTAACATTAGGTTCGGCGCATGAAAAGTTCGACGTTTGACCCTGGCCTGATGAGTTGATGAATTTGACAAAATAAAATCCATATGATTAGTTAGCCCCAAGGTGCCCTACTTTAATATAATTTTGCTCTGTCTAACGCCATGCATTACTGTAGACAGAGACTAATTATTCCAACCTGGAAAACTGAAATTGCCACACACATGCCCGCAAAGGCCAAACATATGATCAACGGAAACATGAGATTCGCTGTTTCTGTAAAGTGAAAAAAAAGTTTATTTATTCTCAAGTTCAAATTACCAGAGGGATGTTTCACTCCGAAAAACTGTACGCGATTTTTGAGTTTCAAAAATCGTTGCGATTTTAAAGGATTTTTCCGAGATTTGTTTTTCGGGATTTTTCAGGATTTCGCGCTAACAGGCATCAAACACGGAAAATCACTAAATATTATAATAAATATAGTCCAAGTTTTACCTTTCTCCAACACAATAGCAAATATTCCAGTCAGAAGGAAGAAGAAACTACAGTAAAATATATAAGATAACAATTTTGGGTGACCATTTGTCCGAATATATAGACGGCAAACTTTTCATGCGCTGAACCTATAATCAAATTAAATGCGGAAACTGAATTCAGATCTCGGACTTAATTGCATGGACGGTGCCAAAATACAAGTACACTATATCAGAAATTTCAGTGCTAAATTGCTAATATATCATAATCATATGATAATGTACGTTGAAAAAATTATGCATTGGGTTTGGCGCATGGAAAACACAGCGTCTAAACCCCCATGTCGAACCTGTGTCGCATAATACGACGACACTTGCTGTATTTTGTGCCGTGTCTAGCCTAAACGCCGCTCTCTGTTGTACTTAATCGTTGTATTATGTTCATTATTGGTTATTATGGATCCTAAGATCCCACATATGGTAAATTGATAAAAACATTGATGTCTAAAGCCTGCTTTCCATGCATATTAGGCCGTGGGCCGTTGTGCGTAGAAAAGCAATTGCGTGGCACCTTCTGGGGAATAGATTTTCTGTGGTTCAATGCATGGTACCACTATAGAAGATGCTCAATTAACAAAAAAAGTTCCCAAGCAAAAAACGTGCCCAATACGGAGAAAATGGATGATCAATAATTATCCTCTATTAAATTATATTACAGCAAGAAAATATGAAATTTTGTATTCAACTACAACAAAAATTACTTGCGTCATCAGAAAGCTTACAAAAACCTACGTATAAGACATGTATAAACAGGTTTTTTTATATCTCGAATTGTTTTCGAGTTATACGCTGTCAAAAACGCGTTTTTGACCTAGTACCCAGTCTTTATTGAGAAATGAGTAAATTAGCGACTTTAATAGCTGTTGAAAACGTAATAACAGTTATTCAAAAACTTGAAGTTTTGTGCTAGCATAGACTTGCTACAAATCGGCTCACATTGCGAGACCGGTCATTATTTATAGCGGGGGTTGACACCGAAGAGAAATGTTTTTCTTGCTAAAACTTTTGTTGATCCAACCATTAAAAAGTCAAACATTTTTTTACCCAACTTGAAATATAAATTAAAAAAACAAATACCCAGCCCTGGCCAAAAACTTTACAAAAGCGGATACCATTCGGTTGTCACATATGTCCTTTATCACTTCTGTGTAAAGTTTCATGTTGTTGGAGACACCATTTGCCTCCTGACAAATCGGAAAATGATCAAGACAAGTGACTCTGATTGATTTACATATTGTATTGACATATGACTGTCGACATTGCTTTTTAGTCTTCAATGTTTGAGCGAGTCATGCTTTGGAAATGACAATAAATTTTTGTTACCCAACCCTTGAGTTGCTTTGTTTTTCATTTAACCAACCTTTTACTCACTCAAAAGTTGGTTTATCCATCCCTTTTCTGTTCGGTGTCAACCCCATAGTAAAACGAATAGGCAAGCGATCTCACAAATTTGGGCTCCAACCGCGCACGGGTAAATAAAACGTAAAAACGAGACTCACGAGTCGACTTGAGACTTATAGTAATAAGTCTGGTGCCAGCATAAACCGCGGGTCCCTTAAAGGCGCGTAGCCCATGTCATATTTTATATAAAGCCCACCTTATAAATTAAATAAAGCGTTCAATTCCCAAATAAATATATAGAGTTGAAAAGTTCACTGCCACAGCTTACCAGCCTATCAACCTTACAAATCTTGTCCCTAATTTATCCAACAAAGCCCCAGCAATAAATCCAGCCACATTAAACGCAAATACTGACAGAGTAAATATCAACGCCAGTCGTTCGTCTTGTTTGCCGCATTTTTCGGAATCATCGCTCGATTCCTTGCGTAATGATGTATTTCCATTGTCGCCATCCGCGCACAAATCTTTAAAGTATTTCTCCTCTTTAAGAACCAGTACGAGATTAGCCCACCCGAATATGACGCCAGAAAATAAAACCATCTCTATTATGCCAAAGACTGTCCGAATGTTCGTCTTCAGTTGAGACGCCATGGTTAAACAACAAAATACAACAGCGCACAGACAATATTTATGCAGCGCGTATTCGTTAAGACTTTAACAGACGAGCAATCGCACAACTAAATTCGAGAATTCATTGAGAAGAGGTCCAAAATTCCTTAGTTTTCCCAAAATTTCCTTAAATAGATTCATGGCTGTATCCATTAATACCATATTATCGGGCCGGGGGTAGGGTAAAATTTCATGACTTCAGGGTCGTCATGAAGAGAAATTATTATTAACACGATAGCTAATCGACTAAAAAATATTTACAAGCTAGTTGTCGTTGCTTTTCATTAGGCCGTGTACTTACAGACACTGTGTAAGATATTAACACCCACCCTCCCCAAACCACCCAAATAATATTAGAAAGATATTCAAAGTTTATTATAATCACAACAACCCCACCCAGATAAGATTAAATAAAAATCATTCAGGAGTTTTTATTTCTTTCATTCCAAACTTTAAATTCCAAACAAATGTCTTTCTTGGCCGGTAAATATTTTCCCAAAATTGTATTACCCAACCTCACTGAGCAATTAAAAAATAAGTATTGAACAGTCTTTGCCAGTGTAGGTAGTCCCAATAAAATGAACAAGCTTTCGTTCGGGATGCAACTACCTGAAAAATATATAAGGAGAATTTTGACGTTTCGAGCAAAGGCCCTTCGCCTGGAGTTACTGCAAGAGTAGGACCAACGAAAGCTTGTCCATAAAAAATAGTACCCACCCCTGGTCAAAAACGTTACAAAAGACGTCACACATGTCCTTTACCACAAGTAGTTATCAAACTCGTGTCACAGAAGTGCAATTTTCTGCAGTCTAAAGTTTCATATCACTCTGCACATGTATTTCCTTGGAGACACCATTTGCCTCCTGACAAATCGGAAAATGATCAAGATAGTGACTCTGATTGATTCACTATTTCACGTATTGTATTGACATATGACTGTTGACATTGCTTTTTAGTCTCGATATTTGAGCGAGACTGTGAGTCAACCTTTGGAACTGACAATTTTTTTATTACCCAACCCTTGAGTTGTTTTGCTTTTCATTTACCCAATCTTTTACTCACTCAAAATCTTGTTTACCCATCCCTTTTCTCTTCGGTAACACCATCCCCCCCACCCCCACCCCCCCGCCATAAATCATGACCGATTCTTAAAGATGGTTTATGATTCTGAAAGCTCTTGACCATAAGGGCCCGGCTCTTGACTGTATAACAACATACGATTCCTGTTTTTAAGGATGAATCTTTACGAGTGATCCTGATTGACCTCTCTAGACTAAACATATCCGTTTCTAACACGCGGCATAAATTACTTCCGATTAAGTGACAACACCTAAATGACAGAATAGACGTAACTTTTTAATGTGTCAATAGCAAAATATAATATAAATATACATAAATTGATTTGGTCGACTGTAAATATTTGCATTTCATTTGAACCAGCAGAGTTTTTATTATTATTATTATTTATTATTATTATTAAATTGAAACCACATTGCAGCCAGAAGCTTAGCCTGCATGGCAGGCGGTATTTCTACGGGCAGCGAAAATTAGGGAAGCAAAGGAAATACCTACGTACCGCCTGCCATGCAGGCTACCAGAAGCTGAATTGCGTGGATTACATATTATCACATGCACTACATATAAATATATTATTAATACAATATTATAAAACCCACCCTCGATCAAAATTCGATTAAAATAAGCATAAAATCTATCCTACAAACTTCCTACACATAGCAGGGATAAAAGAGTTATAAAAGCGGTTCGTGCGTGTAACGTACATATTAAAATACCGATTCGTCCTGAAAGAATAATCAGTCTCGTTCTTCGGGGGCAGCAGATGATGAAGTTTATGCATTGGATCCTTGATGATACTCGTAAAGAGTTTGTCACACATGTCCTCTCTTCTTTGAAATAGAGTAGGCAGTCTAAAATACTCAAGGGCCTCACAAGATGTCATTTCAGGAGATAAAATTTTTAGCACACGTTTCTGGACAGTCTCAAGTTCGTCTGCCAAATACTTTGGGATGGAATGATGGAAGGCTTGCGCACGATACTCGAGCACAGGCCTGATCACTGTACAATAAAAGTTCAAGACATCATTGACATTTACGCCTGCCCGTTTCAATAATACTATAAAATAGAGGCGTTTATTAGCTTTCTTTATACTCTCTCTGATGTTATCTTTCCACTGAAGTGTGCCTGTCATAACAAGACCCAATATTTTTGCACTCTCAACTATAGGCAATGCTTCTCCACCCACCAGTACAGGATCAAAAGGTTGTTTAATTTTTTTTAAATCGATTCTCAGTTCTTTACATTTCTCAGCGTTAAGAGATAGCCCATTTGCCTTCGACCAATCTTCCACAACATCAACTGCGAGTCTGCGACTTGAACACGGCTCTCTGTGTCCTTACTAACTACTTCAGCAACTGTTGTGTCATCAACAAACTTCCACCTCGATATATCACATATATCAAGATCGTTTATCATTAAACAAAATAGCCAGGGCCCTAAGAGTGTGGTGTTATTTCCATCTCGTATGTGTGGATTTAAATTCGGTGAGCAAACAGCATGTGAGCGCATTGATCATGTCATTAGCGACGTTTTGCGTCGTGCAGGATAACATTTATAGGCTTTTGTGGAAAATGGGCATTACGGATTCCAGATGGAATGGAAAATGCGGGTTGCGGATAGAATGGAAAATGCGGGTTGCGGATAGAGGGGAAATGCGGAGCGCGGATATATTCTTATTGTATAATTATATTTATTTTAAAATATTTAATTCCATATTTATACTGGGCAAAATATTATTGTGTTTTTAAAGTTTTAAAAACTGTAATTCAAGTCTTCCGACGCAAAACGTGTTGTGTTGTACTGCATTGTATTGGTGTTGTGTTGAATATGTTAGAGAGTTTAAGCTTCGCTTTATACATCAAACGGCAAACGCCAGGTAAAGAAAAAAATTACGGTATCAGGCAATAAAGAGTAAATGAACTTGCTGTTTTAAAACTGCGCTGCATGATTACTCTTTCGACGCAAGAAAGAAAATATGAAACGAAAACCTTCAACGAAAACCTTCAACGAAAATTTTGCCAAGAAAGTTCCAACCTGCCGTTTCCCGTTCCCAGAAACGTGAAACTTAAAACCAGCGTGACTTAAGGTGATTCCGCAGTAATTGTTCCCGAAATGAGAATGTGCTGAAACTTCCCAGGCATGGAGAATATGATGGTGTTAAATTAAAATCACACAAAAAAGTCGGGGTCACCGAACTCGTTAAGAAGATATGACAATCACAATATACCACCTTTACCCCAATATGGCGCCAAACTCACCACAGCCCGATATTTATTGCGATATATACAGCAAACTCACCACAGCCCGATATTTATTGATGTTTTTAGCGCGGATTTTACTTTATTAAACCTATCTTGTAATTATTTTTGAAAAAATATTGTGTTTTGAGAAAAATGAAACTGCTAACGTGTACAATTCTGATCCGCAAATGTCCTTTCCACATTTCTTTACATATCTTTCTTTGAGAACATGCATTGATAAAGCATTTTTTTTTCGAGATCCAGAAATGATTTTTCTTTTAATTTCGGATATGAAATGTAAAATGCATTAAAGAAATAAATTATCAGTTAAAAAACGGGGGTCACCGATCTTTTTAGGAAATTGTGGGCTTGTGGCATTAAAACGTGAAATACAAGTAAATAAATATACTGCAGACACAGGAACCCTAGCTACACTTTTGTATGCCTTTTTTGAAAACATTGATTTTAACGTAATTCTTTGCACGAATGTAACCAAAGATGTTCAAGTAACATAAAATTGTCATAAAATTTTTTTTTAAACGGTACGTATAATGAATGAAATTATAAGTTATAAGATGGCGCAGTAAAAGTGCGCAATGCAAAACTGCGGAATTACCTTAAATCGCACTGAGTTACGCGTAACCTTCGTTGACTTTTCTAAAGACAAGTTTTTTTCTTTTTAATCCGCACTGACCCGCATTTTCCACCAAACCATTTATGTGGAGCTCGTTAGGGTACGACAGGAGGGCGTAAAACGGTTTTTCAGGCATTTTTATAATTCCGTTTCTAACTTTCCGATGTAAATTCTGACAGAGGACAAAAATTACAAAATGCTTATTTAAGCTTTATTATTCGTCAAATTCATGATTACGTATAGAAAATGGCAGTGAAAATTTTACAACATCAATCAATATAGTATTCGTTATGTTGCTAACACTAGACTATAGACTAAATATAGTTCGTGTTTTGTTGACTTGTGGCAAACTTGTCAACAAGTGTCAACAAATTATAATAACAATTAATTGCTATAATAACAGGTGTATAATAAAATGTAAAAAAGTGTTTTTAAAATATTTTCTCGGCAGCTTATTGCCGAGATTGGCTAACCTGTTTAGGTAACTAAGCGTCAGAATTGTCTACATGAATAACTCTTATACATAACGTTATCTAAAATGTAAACTTGGGATCTCCAAATCGTCCAATTCGAACTGAACCATTCTCGTACAGTCCTCACAGTGGATTTGAAATATTACGTAAAACAACGTTTAGCCAAATTTGTCTATATACACTGTTTTACTTTTGTGTTGCCAGAAATTTTCTATCCGTTTCGTGCGATTGGTACTGACGATCAGTGACGTAGCCAGAACTTTTAGTCAGGGGGGGGGGCGAAAAAATTGCAGGGCGCTGGAGAAATTTCTCCCGGAAAGCTGCATCTTTTGTAATGTCCACAGACCTTTTAAAATCTAGAGTCTTCAGAATACCATTTTCGGCATTGTGGGGGCTATTTTATCGTGTTTGGTGGTTCTCAATAATCATTTACTTAATCACATAAACCAATCCAGAACATTTAAAACATAGCAAGATATAAAATGTACACTCCAGGAAGTGAAAACATAATTCACATGCTTTAAGGTACAAGTCAGAATTTTCCCAATTGAGGCACAATTTCGCCCGGGCCCTCCTTCGGCTACGTCACTGCTGACGATATGGAAAAAATAATATCTCAATTCATTGATTGCAAACGTATGATTACAAAAATAAACTACAATTTACGGTTAGGTTTTCACTGATCTATAATTATATGGTTGTTTCTCAAAGTTTTTACCATGGCTGTCCAAGATATTCACGCCTGAAAAATCCAGTGAGGTCTTTTGCGGATGGAGAGCAAACTTTCTCTCCTCTTGCTACGTCTAGTTGACACGCGAGCTTCATGCTGCACGTAGGACTTTCACAATCTTCCACACTCGCACAACCCCTTAGAAATTTGTCGCAAGTACGTTTCATTCTGAGCTGCAAAATAAGTTAGAGAAAAGCATTGGTCAGGGCCCAAGGGCGGGTCTAAGCCTTCTTCAATGGGGGGGGGAGATGAGGTATACATGTGGAAAAATCTCACATCTTGTAGCAAGTTTGCCAACAAGCTGTCATCAAGTTGTGTTCGCACTGCTTGTCCCAAGTTGTCAACAAGTTTGGAACAAGCTGTTGACAACTTGTAACAACCTTGTTGATATTATCAGACTTGTTGCAAGGTTGTTCCAACAATCCGATATAGTCATGATAAAACAATATTTTTTACAATATTGTGTCGTCAACCTTGTAACATTCTTGTTTAGTATAATTACACTAGTAGGTGATTATTGAAAATTCTCCACGCTGATTGGTTACCGTTGAGGTGATTATTACGCGATAATCACCTAAGCCATTTTCAAAATGGCGGCCGAAGCCGTTTTGTCGATTAAAAGACGAAGAAATGTGCATTTTTAATTTTTTTTCCAAATAATCACCTATGAAATTATACTAAAACAATTATTCACCTCAGGCTCGGTGATTATCACCGATAATCACCTCGCCTTCGGCGAATAATTGTTAATTATCATGACTGCATGTGTTAGACTTGTTAGAACAACCTTGTAACAAGTCTGATAATGCCATCAAGTTTGTTACAGGTTGTTAACAGCTCGTTTCAAACTTGTCACAACAACAGGGAACAAGCAGTGCGAACACAACTTGTCCGGCGACAGCTTGTGAACAGATTTGTAACAATTTGTTTGCAGACCTGTTAGTTTTTACGTGTGTAGTTTTGCGCAGTCATTAGCTTGTTCTGAATTAGCCTATGACTCCATACAGCACATTTTCAAGATACCTATTCGCCTGACTTTTTGAAGTATTAAGTCTTGTCACTACTTGTCTCTCAAGCAGCAAACAAACTTAAAAAGTATGTTTAGTGCTTTATCTGTAAAATAATGCTAAAATGAAGAGATGGTACGCCAAAGAGAAAATGATGTCTGAAGTTTAGCAAGTTTTGCTTTTTTCGCTGTACAAATATGACGTCAATTTTACAGCATCAACGATAATAGGCAATTTCAACTTTTAATTTTGCGCGCAGGGGGTGACGGGAAGTAAGGTATCATATTGCTGATTATGCTGAAAATGTTCAATAAAAACTGCCGAAACAACCAAAGCATTTCAATATTTACAAGTACAAGCTATCCGTGTTTACACGGCTACCATTTTTTTTTCAGCATAATCAGCAATATGATACCTTACTTCCCATTCCCCCCCCCTTCGCATAAACTAAAAGCTGGAATTGCCTAAATTGACAATATTTAACTATTATTTTGTGTTTCTCAACCGCCAGATACATTTAAAAAGGTTGCTAACTGTATAAACTATAAAATAAAGCTAAAACAAAGTAATTTTGAGAGGAACGCCAAAACGATTTGAGGTTTTGAACACTTTTTATCAAGTGGACGACATTTACCTCGTGTAAGATAAAGTGACGTTTGGATTGGCTGCTCCACGGTTTAGCTGCGCATGCGTGAAGAACGGCAACAAAAATGCAGACGAAGAGAAAGCCTTTACTTGCCATTTTCCCAACAACCTGAAATGAAACGGAAATATTGTTTTTCATTTTCTCACCAAACATTTTGTTTGTATTTAAACTAAAATTTAAACGATAATCTTCTATAAGGGGCCCGGTTAGCGTCAGTAGTCTACGCCCGAGAGAGAAGCATACGTTTATATGATGAAATTAGTTAGTATAGGTAACTCAGGTTTGGTTTCGAGTCATTTGGAGAAAGTGCACGAGCGAGTTTGTCAAGGTCATGTATATTACCGAATTTTAGAACAAAAAAAACGTATGGTTTTTGGCCGACTTTGTCAAATTTCAGTCCTAGGCCAGTGCGTTCGATATACAGCTAATTCAATGGACAACTTGCATGTTAGACTAAATTTTAATCTAAGTAAAAAGAAGGGAATCAAACACCACAGCTAAAAAGAACATAATGAAATTAGTAAAATTGCAAAATTTAGTCAGTTGAGAAATGCTGTAAAGCTTGGAAAATATACCCTTGCAAAGTTTGCAAATTTTGTATCATTTTCGGCTCAAAAATGGTAACAATTTCCGCACGTAATATACAAACATATACAAAATATGCAAAATTTGCACGACTGTATTTTCCGTATTTTACAACATTTCGCAACCAATTTTCAATTTTACTAATTTCATTATGTTCTTTTTAGCTGTTGTGTTTGATTCCCTTCTCTTTACTTAGATTAAAATTTAGTCTAACGTTAACATGCAAGTTGTCCATTAAAGTTGTTCTTTCAAAACTCAAAACTGCAAATTCTCGACCTAAGACGTTTGCCGAAATTTCGTATTTTAACATCGATTTAGAGAATAATACTATTTGGTTTTATGAACTGATAACATGATATAGCGATTCGGTCCGTTTGAAAAAACTGCAATTTGCTTGGAGGAAATGGTATTAAAACTGTTTATAATCTTCATAGCTATTGGACATGATGAATTTCCACCATCCTACCATGCATCATTCCTGGCTTCATGCATGCTTTTCTCATAGGCCGTATATGACTGAACTTGTTGGTCCAGGTATTTATAGAACTCACTGCTTTAAACTCTGTGACTCTGAGATGAGTTTTTCTAGATAGAAAGTTCGCAGAGTGTAAATTTGATACATTTTAAGCCACCTACTACTGCGAACCTCGGCGTTCTGTACCCGACCGAGTAACAAAGTCTAGTTGTCAAGCCTTTAACCGCAAGCGCATGACGCCAGTTGAGCTGTATGAATAAATATCAGCTTTATAATTCACATCGAGTGAAATGCCCATAGATATTTATATAGACTAGATAGTGCATCTAATTATTCTGCAATTCAAAAATTGAAGCCGTGATTGCAGACTCAGGATATTCCCATGAAATGAGAAGACTCGTATGTTTTCTATTTCTTAAACAGGGAACTTAAACATTAAGTTAAACCTATTCCAAATACATTTTCAAACTATTCAAATGATGAAAGTTATTGTTATTTTTTAAGCGTTTATTAGCGAGTGGGAAATTCCAACATGTCCGCCATCTATTCAAATGGGGGTAACCGCTGGAATATTCTTTTGGCTTCAATTTTACTAAAAGAGATGCGCTATCTAGTGTATACAGCTATTTCAATTAAGGTTGTCCCCCCGAGCAGAGCGGAAAAGTCGAATACGAGCGCGAAAGGCTGCTGGGAATCGCTAATAAATGGTTGTCCCCCGAGCAAAGCGGAAAAGTCGAATACGAGCGCGAAAGGCTGCTGGGAATCGCTAATAAATCCAGCAGCCTTTCGCGCTCGTATTCGACTTTTCCGCTTTGCTCGGGGGGACAACCTTAATTGAAAGCTATTGAAATAGCTGTATAAGATATCTATGGCAATGCCCAATGCCCTAATATTTACGCATAATTGAACCAACTTATTAATAAATTTCACCCATGACTAATGGTTGATATGAACTTTGTTTCAATATTATGTTTTTTGTCCTTGGCGACAGAACGCCGACTCAAATTCTTTCATTGGTTAATGACGTGCAAATGATGCATGCAGTGGGCTTTATTAACGTTATTTTCCAAAGAAGCTTGTTTAAATACGTGGGAGACAAATCATCAGTTGAAAAATAATCCTTTATTGACCATTTCTCTCAACAGAGACATAAAATTCATATTGCAATGTATTGTGTGATGGCGTAATGTGGGCAAGTCAGATTAAGTTAGCCATCTATTAACGAAAGCAGGCACGTTTTAATTTTTTAGGAAATATTCACTGATTAGCAATACCATTCAGAAATCAGTATTTTCACACTTAAAATTCGTAATGAATCATATAATTATATGCGCTATATGTTCAACTTTGAACAAAAACGTTTAATTTTGGGGAATGAAATTTATCGATTTTGCAGCATACAAAGAAAAAGGACATATATATACACACTAAAAAATTCCTGCTTGTTAATTTAAAATCAACACTGATTGGGGTAATCTAATGTTTCTGGTTAAATTTAATCACAGTCCTGCTTAGTTTGATCATAATCCTGGCTAATTTAAACCAGGCTATGTGGTCGGATTAACCAGATTATGTTAGGTGCACTATTAATTATAAAACCAAACCTGACATATATGAGTGTGGTCTGTTAAATTTTAAAACATTTAACATACCACAGAGACATGGAAATGAATGAGAACGAAGCCGATATCAGACACTGTAATTGATGTCACTGTAAGGCTGATTTCAATAGTTTTTAATGTGCATACAGTTCATCACATATCGTCCTTTACAATGACACGCACTAGACAATTTATTAATTAGTGTCTTTATTTGATATCCTCCACAGCTAGAAGAGGAAGTTTTTCCGGTCAACCGTACGGACAGTAGTCGAATAAAGGGCATTATGATTACACTGTAGGTGATTATTGAAAATTATCCACGCGCTGATTGCTTGTCGTTAAGGTGATTTGAACGCGATAATCACCTAAGTGACGAAGAAATGTGTATTTTTTAAAATAATTTTTCCAAATCAAATCACCTATGAAATTATACTAAAACAATTATTCACCTCAGGCTCGGTGATTATCGTGAATAAAAACCGAGACGAAGTTGAGATAACCACCGATAAGTATAAGATCATCTAACGAATATAATTCGTATGGTGATTATTGGTATTTGCAACCATTATCTTAAATTTTGTCAATGAAACATCAGTAAAATGTGTCCGTCGACTGATGACTTAATAAGAATGCAAGAAAAATTATTCTCAGAGAACTCAGATTCAAAGAAGTTTCCAGATATAGCATGCTCGCAATTCTCCCCCAGAGGCCTAACGCCTCTGGTGCTTGTTCGATATAATCTCCATGCAGCTCTACAACTCTACAACTCTACAGCTCTACAACTCTACAGCTCTACAGCTCTACAGCTGTATGCAGCCACAATCTTGGACAGAACTCTAGTTGAGACCGTTCCAGCCAATATTAGAGAGGTTAAGATACCCCGGTTCCGTTTTACGGGTACGCCAGTATCGCCATTTTGTTTACCAATTTTTGCTGATGTCAGCATTTTTACCCGTAATTTCTACCCATTTCCCCGCTGTAAACCATGGTCTACACGTAAAAGACAAACGGGTGCGAGTGTTCTCTATTTACTATTTGTGGGCCGCTTAAATAGTAAAAATTTTCAACATCTTACCCAAATAAACAATGCACTTAGCGAGAGTTGCCATTCTCTGATAGGTTTACTGGCACACCGAAATATCTTGGATTTCTTAAGTTACAAGTCGTTCCCCGGTTTACGGGTACGGGTACATGTATATCACCCGTACCCGTAAACCAGAACCGGGGTATCTTAACCTCTCTAATGTGATGATAATGCACATTGACAAAACAAACTTTGTCTCCCCTATCCACCCCACCCCCATGAAGTTCAATGTTGTAAACGACATCAAAACAACTTTACCATTAATTTACCATGACACAAAGTACCCAACATTGAGATGGGAGAGCGGGGCTTAAATTAATAGTCTCGACCAGTTATGTTCAAGATTGCAGAGCTTGTCACTCTAGCTGAAATGAAAGCTATGATGCGCCCATTTTTTCATTGGGAATGTGAGATTTGCACCGTCAGTCGTTTTACTGCTAGGCCGAATGGGATTTGGTAAATCAGTGGATCAGGAGACTGGCATTCAGATATTTCGAGTGGTCCTTCACACGCCATCAAGCACATCTAATCAACTTTGAGTTCTTCAAATTTTAATGACAGTTTGAGTAGTCGTTTGACAAGTAATCTCCAGTCAACTCTCATCGGCTTAATCCCGTGTGAACGGACACGACAGATGACTAAAAACGCGCACTTCTCAACTGTTATATATATATTAAGTAAACTCTCCAATTCTTTGTATATGAATTAAATCAATAAAAGCTAAGATGCATGTGTCTTGTTAAACTTCTAGAGAGGACAATTGAAAACTGATAGGGCTATATATGCAGTATATTTATAGAAGGCATTGTATACATATATGCCCGTATGGCACATGAAGTGTTTTTCAATTCCTAACGAATTCGTTATGAAACATATATAGAAATTGTCTAAATTGGCTGTGTTGGTGATTGAATTTTGAAGTTTCTAAACATGAACACGATTTGATACAGTTCAGTGAATATATGAAGACGTTAAACACTTCAGATTTCACCCAAGCGCATACTATCAAGTACTGTTGCGTCATGTCCAAATTATTCAAATGTACCAGAATACCGCATTAAACGCGAGAGATGGAACTCTCTCGTCAATTCATGTTTGACCAAGGGCGAGGCTTAAAAATTTGAGTCCAAAAATTTGACTCCATCAGTTTTTAAGTATTCTTCCGTAGATTTACATATCTTTGGAATCACAGTTGTTCATTATTGTTATCTGTTGATATGTAAGCTTAATGTTGTGACAAGCTTGTAAAATTAAAATTACAGTATATGAAGACCAGCCTTGGTTGCCGCGTAAGGTAATTATAGGAAAGATCCAGATCATTCGAAGAAAAGCTATCTGTGCTGTTGAAATTAAAGTCAGTGTTAAAATTAAAATCATCGAACAATGTCGAATGAAGAAGAAACGGTCAATATCTGTTAACCGTTAGGCGTTCCACGATTTTTTTTTAAACTGTGCACTCCGGCGAACTGATCTAGTCCAGATATCAAGTAGATTGAGACTGATGCATGCATTATATTGAATCTTGTTATGACAACAAAATAATCCTGGCGCTAAATACCGTCGTTGCCCCAAAATAATGAACACGGGAATTTCAATCCCAAATAGGGTTATCTTTCTTAACCTTGCACGTTTTCGAGATTTATAAGGAGAAAAACAATAATTAGATGTATAAGCAAAGATTGATGGGTTTCGATAGCAGTTTTGGCATGGGAACATATATACAAGCCTTTGTTAATCTGGCGAGGATTATGCGTGTCCATGGGTATAATATGGTTTGCATGTTCGGTCCATTTGAATTTAGTCGAAATTTGTATCGCAGACCAGCCATTACTTCAATTGTATCAATTAATGTCTATATTACAAATTAGAATAGCACTGATACTTACAATTATTTCAAATGCAACTGTTTCTTTTAATTTCACTTCTTGTCCAAGCGAGATCAACCCGTGTGTGCTCGTAGCTTAGTGAGTGAGCTCTGTTATAAAACCGTTGGTGGCGTAATTAAATTCAAACCCCACGACGCAAAGTAATTAAAATATTGAACGCCAATTATCACTGCTCGGATAAGCATGACTGACAAACTATGCAATCTGCTATCAACCTTATATCCTTTGAACAAAGAGCCCTTTAAGACAAACCAAATAATTTTGCTTCTGGGCTTTTTGAATCGTGCATTTTGCTCACGAATTTTTGTTTATTAAAACCACACAGAATTGCTAGAACAGAACCCGATAATCGACATTGTATTCCAGGAATGCCTTGCAACGAGAACCGAAATTAATAAAACTATAGAAATAGAATTCAATGATTACTACCCATTTATTGAAAATAAATCTCTGGAACCGCGCTAATTGCTATCATGGCGACCGAGGAATTTTTTTAATGCTTGAAATGTTTAATTATCTGTCTTGAAGTTTCTGCAGACTATTCTGAATGCATTAGTCATATTTTATGTTTACTTGTGGTTTTATGTTTTTAGAAAATGTAGCCCATCCCACGACACTAATAAACAATGGCCTGTTCATGTGAACTTAGCTCTAGCCATGCAGATGCACACTCAGAGTAACACCACAAACATATTCACCTGAGTACAGAACACCAACACACACAAAATTAGAAGTGTTCCGTCTTTAAAGACTTTAAAGTTCCAAGAATAGCTATCTCTTATTGATCCAGTGTTGCTACGAGAGGAAACTTAAACTAAACTAACTTTTTTTTCTGGATAGTTTTACCAGTTCTAAACTGTTCTTCCTAGTGGTCTAGTATAAGGATCATTTCTTATTGATCCAGTTAACCTACAGGGGGAAACCTAAAGTAAACTAACTTTATTTATACTGGATATAGCTCTATAAGTTCTAAACTGTTCTTCCTAGAGGTCCAGTAAAGATCATCTCTTATTGATCCAGTGTTACTACAGGGGAAACCTAAACTAAACTGACTTTATTTTTACTGGATAGCTCTATTAGTTCTAAATTAACTGTTCTTCCTAGAGCTCCAGTAAGGGTTATCTCTTATTGATCCAGTGTTACTACAGGAAGAAACCTAAACTAAACTAACTTTATTTATACTGGATAGCTCTATCAGTTCTAAACTGTTCTTCCTAGAGGTCCAGTAGGGGTCATCTCTTATTGATCCAGTGTTACTACAGGAGAAAACCTAAGCTCAACTAACTATATCTATACTAGATCAGCTCTAACAGTTCTAAACTGTTCTTCCTAGAATTCCAGGAATAGCAATCTGGTACTGGTCCACTGTTACCACGAGAGGAAACCTAAACTAAACTAACTTTATTTATACTGATAGCTCTAACTGTTCTAAACTGTTCTTCCAATAGTTCCAGTAATAGCCATATCTTGTATTGATCCACTGTTACTACAAGAGGAAACCTATACCAAACTATCTTTATTTTATATATACGTGAATCGTCATTATTATTATAGTTATATTATATACGTGAGTAAATCGTTATTCCTAGAGCCAGTATAGGAATCATGCCTCATTTGATCTAGTTGAAGTGTTGGCTTGCTGGCTGCGGTGAAACCAGCGAAATAGAGTCAACTATTTTCCATTAACCACATATTTTTGTTGAAACAACTAATTTAAAAACAGGTTCTCTGGATTCATCCAGATATAAGTTATATTAACCGACTTCATTTGGTTATCTTGACCAATTAGGTTTTGTAATGTGGACAATCTACGTATAGATCCTTGCAGAATCTTTGATATCATTCAAAACGTCCAAAACATGACGTTTCTAGTTTTCACAAAGTTTACAAAATTATATATTCCTGCATCAGGAGACGTGTTCGAGTACAACAATGTATCAATATACGGCGTACCGCAAAATTCTTAATTGCATTACAGAAATACTTAAGTCTCTATTTTGGGAATTAAGCATCACATGATGGATGACTCAGTTCTGTCTCTGTGATAACAATAGCAGCACTTAGTTGCATTAAGATAATTGTGTGATAAGATAAGATAAGTGCATGACCGTTTAATGCAAGCATACACGCGTGTTAATGTGTTCGTCCTGCTTGTTCCCAGTTGCTAATTGACAAGTTGTTATCATCTTCTAACCGAAGGTGGATGAGGCCAACACTCAACAGACTAGCAATGAGTTGTTCCGCTGAACAAGTGTGATATCGTCTGCATGTAACAATTAAGTTGTTAACAATTAGTTGATGACAACAAGCTCGTAAACACGTAAAGTTTTTACAGGTCTGCAAACAAGTTGTTCTGACAAATCTGTTCACAAGCTGTCGACATTAAGTTGTGTTCGCATTGCTTGTTCCAAGTTGTTGTAACAAGTTTGGGACAAGCTGTTGACAACTTGGTCTTGGAACAAGCTTGATTATCAGACTTGCTATACAAGGTTGTTCTAACAAGTCTGATAGTGATACATGCAGTCATGATCAAGAATGTTACAAGGTTGACCATATACATGGTTGTAACAATATTATATCATGACTGTATTGGACTTGTTAGAACAACCTTGCAACAAATAAGTCTGATAATATCAACAAGGTTGTAACAAGATGTTAACAGCTTGTTCGAAACTTGTTGACAAATTGGGGCAAACAGTGCAAAGACAACTTGTTGACGGCTTGTTTTGCTACAAGATGCGAGATTTTTACGCCTGTTGTAGCTAACTGTTTAAACAGCCTGTATTAGTCTTGTTGGAACAACTTGTAGCAAGTCTGTTACTGCATCGTCAACATAATAACAAGGTGATAACAACTTGTTTCCAGATTTCTAAAAACTTGCCTGTTTTTACGTGCGTATGTGCATGAATTTTATATAATTATACGTGAAAAGTTTAGAGGTTGAACTGGGAAAAACATTGTGTTGTGGACTCGAATAAAACACTGTAATAAAATGAAATAATATAAGCCGTCAGGCACTTTAATTAAATCGATGGATCTAAGCACTCCACATGGTACCATTGTTCTGACCAGCGTGGGTCAGTGGGCATAGCATTGCTATCACGACATCATGTTTGGTGGACAAAGAGCTCTTAGGAAGCAATTTGCCGCCAAAAATTAAACCACACAGGCGGCCTTTAATAACTTCTAAACATAACTCTTGCTGTTAAGTAGTTGTTTTTAATTAAGCCTTTGTTTTTATAGTTTATACAGGGTCAGAGAGCTGGCGAAGCTTGCATCACAATCATTTGCAATTCTATGTACAAATTTTACCTCAAAAGTTTACACTATCAAAGTGTCTGTGATCACCGAGTAGGAATTTTGCATAGGTAAATTGAAAGTCTTGAAGGATTTGTTTGAGGGAATTACTGGCTCAGTGTTAAACTCAGTTTTAACAGTGTTAAACTCAGTTCCTTCAAATATTTCTTACAAATCCTTCAAAACAATTTACCCATGCAAAATTCCTACTGTGATCACAGCTGAGATTTTGACAATGCCAGCCTTTCGCTGTCGAATTGCTCAGCCGTGCTGCTAAGATATTATTCGCAAAATGTCAAAAGATTTACGCACGGGGAAGCCGTCTCGACATAGAATCGTAGTTTATTATATAGACACTTTGAAGTTTCACCGAGTTTCTAGACCATGACCCAATTTAATGAGAGTTGGCTTTCACGTATTGTTACAGGGGACATTTCAAGCTCTAGATTAACAAAATAAAAGTTTGATGAGTGTTCTAACTATGTTTTAATTTGCTAAATGAATACATGATAGTGTTGGGAAAGCTGATTAATAAGAACAGGCAATAGCTACCCAAGGGCAAGGTTTTCATCCAGTGGAGAGTGCAAATTATACACACTAATTTTGAATAAATACCAAAGCTTATGATTTCAAACAAACTAAAAGACTAACAAATGTATGTATACATTTATAATTTCTAATAAATGACAAATGTATATAAATTGACACTCGATAATTTCCAAGTGAGACGCCAACAAAATCTTGATATTTAACAAACTAACAAACTAACACATGCACTAACACACTAACAAATTAACAGACAAACAAACTAACAAACCAACAGACAAACCGTTTGTTTGTTAGTTTGTTAGTCTGGACTAACATATAGGAATTTTGCATAGGTAAATTCTACGTTTTGAAGGGATTTGACTCAGTTCCCTACTTCCCTCAAATATTTCGTACAAATCCTTCAAAACATAGAATTTACCCATGCAAAATTCCTAGTGTGATCACAAAAACTTTGACAATGCCAGCCGTTCGCGATCGAATTACTCAACCGTGCTGCTAAAATATTATTCGCAAAATGTCAAAAGATTTACGCACGGGGAAGCCGTCTCAACATAGAATCGTAGTTCATTATAGACGCTTTGAAGGGTCACCGAGTTACCAGACCATCACTCAATTTAATGAGAGTTGGTGGTCACGCATTGGTACAGGACCAGGGGACATTAATTTCTACCTAGGAATTTTGCATGGGTAAATTCTATGTTTTGAAGGATTTGTAAGAAATGTTTAAACAAATCCCTTCAAAAGTTAGAATTTACCTATGCAAAAGTCATATGCCAATGTAGTCCAGACTAACAAACTAACAAACAAACAGCTACTCTGTTGGTTTGTTAGTCTGTTGGTTTGTTAGTTTGTTAGTTTGCTAGTCTGTTAGTTTGTAAGTTGGTTACTTTGTTACTAATATCAACATTTTGTTGGCGTCTCACTTTTGTTACTGTGATCACAGAGATTTTGACAATGCCAGCCGTTCGCGGTCGAATTACTCAACCGTGCTGCTAAAATATTATTCGCAAAATGTCAAAAGATTTACGCACAGGGAAGTCGCGTCTCGACATAGAATCGTAGTTCATTATAGACACTTTGAAGTTTCACCGAGTTACCAGACCATCACTCAATTTAATGAGAGTTTGCTGTCACACAATAGGGCCATTTAAGCCTGGTTGCCATTAAATCGTAATCATCGCAATAGTCGCGGAACGCAGACATCGCTATCGCAAAAATCGCAGTAAGTCTATCTTTGCGACTTTGTCGTAAGGGTCTTAGTTATCGGTGTGACTCAACTAGTTTCCAAGAAATCGCAGTTTTTATTAAAATTTTCGCGTTTTTTAAATCGTTGCGACGCTTGCGATGCGGTTCTTGCGATAATTACGATTTAATGGAAACCAGGCTTTATACGTGACAAAATAAGTCGCGACTTACATAAGACGCGACTTAAATAAGTGGAGTTATCGCATAAATGGTTCTCTACGGTTTTGGTCTTATTTATTTGCTATAGCTATAATGTTGTATTGGTTGTTTTTGTTTTAATATGCAAGGCATTAAATTTTACGTTGTTTCAAGTTTCTGGCATGTGTAGTTAGACTTTTTGTCCAAAATTTCTTATTTAAGACGCGACTTAAATAAGAACAGCTAAAAGACCTGTTCTTATGTAAGACGCGTCTTATCCAAGACGCGTCTTACATAAGAATTTTGTACCTTTTATACGACAAACTCGCGTCTTATTTAAGTCGCGTCTTATGTAAGTCGCGTCTTATTTTGTTCCGTATAAATGGCCCTATTGGTACAGGGCTAGGGGACATTTCTACCTAACAAAATAGAAGTTTATTAACAAAATAGAAGTTTATTAACAAAATAGAAGTTTGATGACTGTTTTAACTATGTTTTAACTTAACCAAATATATTTCATCTACCGAAATCCTCCAAGATTATTCAGTCGAGCGAGACGCCAACAACTAATCTTGATATTTAATAAACTAACAGGCTAACATACTAGCAAACTATAATAGACTAACAGACTAACAAACCAATACACTAACAAACTAACAGACACTAACAAACTAACAGACGAACAAGCTAATACACTAACACACTAACTGACGAAAAAACTAACAGACAAACGAACTGACAGACGAACAGACTAACAAACTAACACACTATAACAAACTAACACACTAACAAACTAACTTATTAACAAACTAACAGACGAACAAACTAATACACTAACAGCGAACAAACTAACAGACAAACGAACTGACAGGCGAACAGACTAACAAACTAACACACTAACACAGTGCTTCCATTTTCAAGGAAATTTCCTTTTCTAAGGAAATTCTACTGTCGAAAAGGAAAATCTAAGGAAGAGAAAAAATCTAAGGAAATCTAAGGATTTTTCCGAAAAACTTAAATATTCATCCAAGTGCATTAGTGAAGAAGAAGGTTTCACTATTTTTTGAACTTTTGAGTGATTTATCAATTATCTTTACTGTCGTTCCAATTGAAGTGTTCCTCAAATATTGATTCGGTACATTACCCCGGGCAGACCAATTCACTTGATAGAAAATTGATCAACTTCCTGTTACTTTTAAATAAGCCAATTAGATTTCGTTTCAGAACCGATTGACCAATAGGAAACGCACAGGAAGTAAAAAGAAATTTGAATTCGTATGAATTGGTCAGCCCGAGGCACAGAATAAAGATCAGTACAAGAAGGGCCACTCAGCGGTGCAACGTGTCGCCATTTTTCTATGCAAAAATATGCAGTTGACTGGCCAGAAGGCGAGGCCTTCACCCAATACAGCGCGTTTATTGGCCAGAAAATGTAATCGACTGGCTAGGAAGATGGCGGCCAGGGGACCCTTCTGTGTGCCTTATTCTGTGCCCGAGGTAATGTATTGAATCAATATTTGAGGAACACTTCAAATGGAACGGCAGTAATTAAAAATCTGTTTTTTAACTTTTTCCTCGTGCTTTCGAAAATTTCCGAAAATTTTTGAGCGATGGGATTGAGTAACTTTTGGCGCCAAACGCTGTGAATAGTTTATTAATCATATCAATGAAAACATATCTCTTGTAAATTCATAACAAATATTTAATTTTAAACAGTATAATAGCCTGTGGTTTTTAGCGTGCCCACATCTTTGTTAAATGTGCTATTTTGTGCCTTGAAAATTAATTAAATCCTTTGTATTGCTACAAAATCACTGCAAACTGCTTCATGAAATTTCAAGGAATTTTCAAGGAAATAAAATATACAATCTAAGGAATTTAGAGAAATTTTTATGAAAAAAATGAGAAATTTTGATTTCAAAAATGGAAGCACTGCACTAACAAACGAACTAACAAACTAACAGACTAACAAACTCACACTTACGAAACTAACAGACAAATTCATTAGGGCACCACAATAGTGGAAACAACAAAATTTTCAAAAGGCCAAAACTAGCGCTGTGATATTCCAAACATCATGAAATGTTCGTATATAGCCTAATTTGAGCATAGGGATTTTAATTCTGGGGTCCATTCTGACAAATATGAAGATGAAAAATCGACAACGCGAACTCGGATCGGAGAATGTAGTTAATTCATTTTTAATAAGTGACCTAGTTAATTTATTTTCAGAGATGATTGAATGAGTTTGGAACATATAAATTAAGAAATGAAAGCACGATTTATTGAAATTGGCATGACAGAAAAATTGCAATTAATATATTCTAAATACAATAACATTATTATAGAAACGCGAATATGATTCTAAAATTAGACCGTAAATTGACAAAGCATTTTTGTGGGCAGTATATTGGACACAAGGACTCTTCTAGCAGCAGACTGGTTGTAAACGTACATTCATTGACATCATTAAAAGATTGGCAATAATTGCCCAAGGAGAAGCCAGGCATTTTTATTTCCTCGTCTGCATGTACAGTATACGCCAACTTTGCTAATTTTTACTATGAAAATATCAAGAGGTACACATGCAAAAATCACACATGTCAACAAGATGTGTTTGCAAAAGGCTTATAGCAAACTTGCAGTCAACAAGTTTGAACAATGCTGTTATTTCATCAAGTTGCTACAAGCTTGTCACTCACAACTTGTTGACAAATTGTTGAATTGCAGGATGATAACAAGTTGTTGGAACAACTTGTAACAAGTCTGTTGAGCTCAACGACCTTGTAGCAAGTTGTCAACAAGCTGGGAACAAGCAGTGCGAACACATCCAGTTGACAAGTTGTTGGAACAACATTGCTACAAGTCTGCTGCAGGTTTGTTACAACTTGTGCGTTTTTACGTGTGTAGTATATACTGCAATCATTGACAAAACCCTTTACAATATTACACATGTAAATCGCGCAAGTTGTTACAAATCTGTTCACAAGCTGTCGACAAGTTGTGTTTGCACTGCTTGTTCCCAGTTGTTGTAACAAGTTTGGAACAAGCTATTAACAACTTGTAACAAGCTTGATGGCATTATCAGACTTGTTACAAGGTTGTTCTAACAAGTCTGACACAGTCATGATATAACAAGAATGTTACAAGTTTGACGACACAAGGTTGTAACAATATTGCTATATCATGACTGTATCGGACTTGTTGGGACAACCTTGAAACAAGTCTGATAATATCAACAAGGTTGTTACAAGTAGTTAACAGCTTGTTCCAAACTTGTTGACAACTTGGGACAAGCAGTGCAAAGACAACTTGTTGGCAGACAGCAGACTTGCTACAAGATGTGAGATTTTTACGTGTGTTAGTTGTACACACACAAAAATCTTACATCTTAGAGTAACAAGACTGTTCCAACAAGTCTGATATTGCCTGATTACCCTGATATATTCTGCATGTACAGTAACAAGTTTATCTAAAACCTTATTTAAAGTACAACCCATCTTTCTACAAGGTACGAATATTTACATCGTCAGACACATGCTTTTTATTTTCTAAATAATTTTCTTTTTTGTTTTGTATTTGGGACCATTCTTTTTTGCTTCAATCTTCTGTATGCTTCTCTGATGTGTTTGGGTTGAATTGGCACTGGATCATTGCACTGCTCTGCAACATCACATGCTAAAATAACATGATATATATACAGAAATTGTATAAGACATTCTATGTAGAAAATGGCACTTAGCACGCTATACATGGAAAAATCTCACAACTTGTCAACAAGATGTGTTCGTGGCAACAGGCTTGTAGCAAGCTTGTCAACAAGTTGTAACAATGGCAATGCTGTTATTTTATCAAGTTGCTACGAGGTTGTCACTCACAACTTGTTGACAAATTGTTAAATTGCAGGATGATAACAAGTTGTTGGAACAACTTGTAACAAGTCTGTTGAGCTCAACAACCTTGTAGCAAGTTACCAACAATCCGTTGACAACTTGTCAACAAGCTGGTAACAAGCAGTGCGAACACATCACGTTGACACGTTGTTGGAACAGCATTGCTACAAGTCTGCTGCAGGTTTGTTACTGCAACTTGTGCGTTTTTACGTGAGTAGTTGTATTGTGTTTCCAGATATAATTCTCGAAAATTTCCAATCATCACTGACAGTTATATACCTTCTTCAACAATTTCTCCTACGTACACTTTAGCAATGCCTGCCATTGCAATGACAACATTTGGAGGAACTGACGTGCCTCCTGTAATGCTCTGCATCAGCTGAAAATAAGTAAATATTATCATCATTCAGCTTTTGCTGTTTAATTAGACACACATGGGCTGATTAAAGGTGATCTACAGTCCGATCTGCGCATGTGCACAAATGAGCCCACTTTTTATGATACAAACAGTTTAATTATGTTTTGAGTTCTTGAAAAGCCTAATTGTTGTTTCTTGATCATTTATTATACTCTAGAAGCTTGAAAATATAAATAGTTGTCGAAAAAGCTCAATATTTTGGACACAAAAATGTAAACAAAGGCTTTGTTTACATACGGACTGTAGATCACCTTTAACAAAGCTTTTGTTGGTTTAAGGGATGGAACTATACCAGAAAAATAAATGGAGAAATTTGATGTTTCGAACGAAGGCCCTTCCTCTTCGTCAGGAAGTTATTAGCCTTGAAACGGTCGAAATGTTGAATTTCTCCTTGAGAAGTAAAATGGTTTGGTATTAGATAGAGTAGGGTGCATCAGGGCACACTGCCACTGAAAGGGTTTAAGATCCGTATTATCACCTTTTTAACAGATGCTTTGGGGAAAGCAGATCGACGATACATTTCATAACGATTGAGCTGGTCTTCAGTAAACGATGATACTAATACCCTGGAAAGAACAAGTGGAAGTATTTTATGCGTAATTACACTCAGAAGATTAAATATTACATACAGTGTAGATTATAACAATTTCGCTTCGGTCTGACAAATGCCTGCTCAAGTGTGCTTGTTGCCCGGCTAATAATGGATGTGCAGACTGAGTTCCGAAGTATCACACCACAGAATACGGTACACAGAAGGCTGACTTCTTTGTTTTTCCTATCATTTTCCTATAATTTTGGCACTAACCCGTCAGCAAATGTGGATGTCATGGTCGCAGCCAGTGCGTGTTTGAGAGGCATTCACCCCTGATATTATTCAAAATGGCGGACGTCCAGGGGGGAATGCCTCTCAAACGCGCACTGGCTAGGACCATGGCGTCAACATTTTGATGAATCATGGCGTGGCAGCAGTTACTCGAGTCGACCTTCTGTGTGCCTTATTCTGTGATCACACACTCAAACCGACTTCAGCTCGTAGCTCAGTTGGTAGAGCATCGGACTGGCAAACCAAAGGTTGCGGGTTCGATTCCTACTGCGGTCAAGCAAACTTTTCAGCTTGCCCGATGTGGACACAACATCACAAGCATACATCTTCACATTAGTGCATAACAACAGAAATTCAAGACAATAAATACGCGGTGCTGGTACATAATTTATATTTTGAATAATTTTGGGCAAGAGCGTGCTATACCAGAGTATAAAATATTAAAATATGAACAAGAGCATTTAAACATACTGCATTTTTTGTCTTTCAATTTCCTCTTCTTCCTTTAGAGTTTTGTCGGATGTCAAGGTGTCTCCTGCAGCGCTTTCAGACGTGCTTGGCCCGGCCGTGCTTGTGCTGGGTTTCGAAGGGGCAGCTGGCGAAATTAAATGTCTCAAAGGCATTACTTGTTGAGGAGAAGACATTGTTTTGATGAATTATAAAACACAAAATGAACGTTCTGTGTATTGATTTGTTTTTATCTCTTCGAATATAACATGTGAAGTCGAATAACGGAATTATACATGGGAAAAATTACTATAAAACTATAAAATATTAAAAGAAAATAGCACAACGAATGGTAGCCATATTGATTTCAAATGAAATCTCCTTTTGAGGAAATTGAAATTCAGGGAAATGAAATTTATGGAAATTTTGAAACAAAACCATCAATAAGAGTAATATAAGGTTATTTTTTGCTAAATTTTAAGAATTCATTATCCTCGTTTAACTAGGTTTTAATTTTAATTCCGTATGGGACATCTTCGCAGCCTTAAGACAATATTTTACGTTTATTTCTGAGCAATACAAATTAAATTAAAGCACAAATCTTGGGAATTTCATTGTCGAAAATGGAAGTGGAAGCACAAATATCTCATTTAGTAAATTTTCAAGATGGCGGCCAACAGGGAGCCAGGTATAATTTTTTTTGTTAAAATTGTATTTTGTATGTTATTGTAGTTTATTGTAATGTGTCTTAAATTTTATTCAATTACTTTTATGTCATTGAGTGTTGTTAATTTAAGTTCCTTTCCAAAACCTCATGGGCTGGTTGTCCAATGCTGGATTAGCTTTTAATTTGTGTAATATGGTCTTTTTGGACAATATTAAATGTAATATGCACGCCCCCCTGTTGACGAGGTTACTGATTTTGGACCCCTTACGAAACGGTTTTTAGGAAAACCCCCTCGGAAATCTCAACTTGACACCCCCTCAGAATTCCAGACCCCCTTCGGAAAATCTCGTCATCAGTGGGGTGTGGATCATCTGTTTGTTTCAAAACTCTCATTGATCCGGGGGGCGACACAGCTGAATTCTCGTACACTCGTACACCCAAAAACACAAGAGAAATCTGTGAATTTTGAAATCAGAAATCACTCAAAAGTCAAAACATCATTATTGAGCCCACACTCTTATATGCCAGCGGTAACCCACAGGTTAGAACTTCGGCATAACCATTCAACTTGGAAGGTTATGCTGTTGAATGTCTTCGGCATCATGACCATTGGATGGTTATGCCGTTGACTGTCTTCAGCATAACCATTCAACTTGGGTTGTTATGCCTTTGAATATTATTAGCATCACCACTCAAACAACTCATAACCATATGGTTCACTTTAATCAAAAAGACTAAGCGTGGGGCCGGTGGCATGCACATGCCACTTCTGCCATTTTGTTAATCCGGCACTGTTACATGGTTGTTGGAACAGTATTGTCACATCTTGTTAACAAGCTTGCTACAAGCCTGTTGAGGCATCATCTTGTTGACAAATTTGTTGGAACAGTATTGTCACAACTTGTTAACAAGCTTGCTACAAGCCTGTCGAGGAGTCATCTTGTTGACAAATTTGTTGGAACAGTATTGTCACAACTTGTTAACAAGTTTGCTACAAGCCTGTCGAGGAGTCATCTTGTTGACAAATTTGTTGGAACAGTATTGTCACAACTTGTTAACAAGCTTGCTACAAGCCTGTCGAGGAGATATCTTATTGACAAGTTGTTGGAACAGCATTGTCACAACTTGTTAACAAGTTTGCTACAAGCCTGTTGAGGAGATATCTTATTGACAAGTTGTTGGAACAGCATTGTCACAACTTGTTAACAAGTTTGCTACAAGCCTGTTGAGGAGATATCTTGTTGACAAGTTGTTGGAACAGCATTGTCGCAACTTGTTAACAAGTTTGCTACAAGCCTGTTGAGGAGATATCTTGTTGACAAGTTGTTGGAACAGCATTGTCACAACTTGTTAACAAGCTTGCTACAAGCTTGTTGCAGAGACATGTTGTTGACAAGTTGTTGGAACAGCATTGTCACAACTTGTTAACAAACTTGCTACAAGCCTGTTGAGGAGACATTTTGTTGACAAATTTGTTGGAACAGCATTGTCACAACTTGTTAACAAGTTTGCTACAAGCCTGTCGAGGAGATATCTTGTTGACAAGTTGTTGGAACAGCATTGTCACAACTTGTTAACAAGTTTGCTAGGAGCCTGTTGAGGAGACATCTTGTTGACAAGTTGTTGGAACAGCATTGTCACAACTTGTTAACAAGCTTGCTACAAGCCTGTGCGGAGACATCTTGTTGACAAGGTTGTTGGAACAGCATTGTCACACGTACGTGTTAACAAACTTGCTACAAACCTTTTGCGAGAAATCTTGTTGACAAATTATTGGAACAGTATTGTCACAACTTGTTAACAAGCTTGCTGCAAGCCTGTTGAGGAGACAGGTTGTTGATAAGTTGTTGGATCAGCATTGTCACAACTTGTTAACAAGTAACATTTGTTGTGCGACACTTGCCACAAAATTTATTGACTGTTAGAAACATTGCAAATTCACTCAAGGGATATGCAACGGAATTTTTCAAGTTTGGGAACTCGAAAGAGGAATGCATGATGTACTTTACCTTTAAGGCTGCCCATATATAGTCAAAACTTGATA